TATAAACCCCTTCGAAGCCCGGTCGCACCGGGGGCCGCGTGCGACTGGGTGAGGTGCTCTCTGTTCGTGTCGCCTCTACTGTCAGCCACACTCACACGGACTGCGGTGGACCCAGTCCACTCCCACGACACACGAAGATGACCATGCTCGCATCAAAAAGCGGAGAACAAGACTGAGATATCAAAAGGGCTGGACGTGGAAATGAAACGGATTCGACCCATCCTCTTCCATGCGTCTTCCTAATCAACGGCCCCGTCTCGTGACTTAACGCGTTCCGGTGCGGCGCGGGTCGCCGTTTTGCGTCACAGCAAACAGGGCCACCGAGAGCGCGTTCACCAAAAGGCCTCGCGGAAGGAACCCGTTCACGCTGGAAGCTCGGGTCTATGCCGATCCTATCGGATCTATGTCATTGGGGTCAATGGGATCAATGGACTCCATGCTGGAATCCATTGCTATTTGTGTATAATCATCCTGGAGTAGATAGAAACCGGGGTTGGTACGGGGTAATGTTCTTTGGCTCAAAAAAAGGCATTTGGGACACGAAAACTAAATATGAAAGAATGATCCATAGATAGAATGTTGGGCCCGCACATGTAGTTCTCGAGGATGTTATCAACTTAATTGGTGTCCTGGTTTCTCTCTCTTCGATCTTCCTTTTCCTGCTTCTCCCTGTTCCATCTCCAGTTCCTGTTTCTCCTCTTCCTGCTCCTTTTTCTCTTTCTTTGGTTGCCCTTTTCCACATTAAATTGGGTTATGCCATATTATGCAGTTACCAGTGCTAGTATACGTTTTATTGCATCGGCTCGCTGAAAAGCAGCCGAGCACTTCTTGAGGATGTCGCACCGTGAACCATGGCACACTGGGCGGTTGGTAAGACCCATAGATGGAATCTTGATAAAATGTGTGTTACTGTTACTAAATCTGCCGTTCATATCTTCATCAGAAATTGAGGTCACATGTTGTTGAAAACAATCCTTCGCCTATTCTATCCATATTCTATCTATGTTTTGGCCTTGGCCATTGGCTTTATTGACCTATTTGTTCGAAAATGATGACATTCTATCTACTCCAGCATGATTATAATAACTATAAGTCTATCTTTGGGTCTACATGGGCTAGATGAGTGTCTTCGTTTCTTCCACACATCCCAGCTAGATACTTTTGTGCATGTTGGATGTCGGGTACTTAAGGATCGACGACCTGTCAAGACAAGCAGGGGTGGGGGAGAGTCTGTTTCATGGCCTGAAAACGCACCGCAGAAACAAGAAACCATCGCTGTCAATGGTGACCTGTTTTCATGACAACTTCCTTTCCACGGAGGCTTTTTGACACAAGGCTAAACAAGCCCAACAGGTCGTTGTGAGAAAATTCGGATTGAGATTGGTTCACGCTTCACGCGCAGTTCGTGCACAAATGTGCCATCCCAATAATATATGCCCAAATGGATGTTGCTGAACCTGAAGGCCCCCTAGAAGAATAGATTGTTCACATTCTTCACATGGTGTTGCGATCCCGGGCGCTGGCCGGGATTCATCTAAGCCAAATGGTTCTCCTGGCACTGCTTCAGCATGTCTTCAGTCCTCTAACTAACCAGAGAATTGACGACCGCCTCTTCCCCCAAACCACCCCGTCCCCTGACTTAACTCACCAAACTTTCACTCAATCCCGCCTGAGGCCAGGAGCATCTTCGACGGCACCTGCTGCAAGATGAAGCCCCATAACCCCGCCGAGGCCGTGATGCCGATCCTCAGCGCCGCACGGCGTCGGCAACGCGCACGGCGGCACCGTGGTGAGCAGCGTGGGGCCGCGCGCACAGGGCGTCGGCGGCCAGGGAGGCGGGAGGCGTAGTTCATAGGTGGGGTGGGCGAGGTCATAAGAGGATCTAGGTGGATCCCAGGCAGCCACTATAGTGAGGAACCAGGATGAAAGCACTGGTGGCCTACTAGAGTGGTTTGCCTGCATGCCCTGGAAAAAGAAGGGACTTCAGTGGAATTCTGTGGCCTGGAGAGATCAAGCCAGTACCACTTGGCGCGAAACGAAGAGCGGAGTTTTCGTCTCTAGCTGAGGCCACTCATTTGGGCCACGCCTAGTTTGTTAAAGATCAACTTCCGGAACTTCCACTCCCCGCAAAATCATCACCAACTGCCACTGAGCCAAAATCTGAACCAGGTCCGATCAAAAAACTGTGGGATTGACATCCCAGCATGGGGCCCCTTCTTTGTTCATGGTCATTACGAGAAATAGCATGAAATACACGCGTGGGGGAGTATAGGGCCGACTCCTTCAGGACCTCTAGGACCTCTAGGCATCAGGATGTGCTCCACCAACCGCGCACGTCTCACAGCCACGCCACTTGTCCATGGCCCCCAACAAGCCGATCCCCGTGGGTGTCCAGTTCCCTTCCTGCCCGACTCGGAGGCTGGATGCATCGGACGGGTTGGCTGTGGGGAGTTGAGTACTTGGTGTAGTGAATCCTGATGGAACAGCTGCATCCTGAAGGAACAGTTCTTATCTTCAAGGAAAAAGCCGGCCCTCACTTGGTGTAGTTTCTCTGTGGCTTGAGGCTGCGAAAGTCGCAAGCTCACAGGATCAACACTGCTACCAGCAAGAACCAATCAAATGGCCCTGTCACAACTCAAACAATTAGAGTGCGTGTGTGTTTATGTATATCTGTGTGTAACCCTTGGAGTGTCACAGGGATGCTGATGGATTTGCCTTGTTTTTTCAGCAGGGGGCCACCGGGGTCCCAGAGGAGCGGTGGCCAACAAAGACCTCCTCTGGGACCCGTGTAAAAGTACCTGCCAAACTGGTTGCCTGTTGTTCTCGCTGTGGTTTGCTTTCATGGTGGTTCATGTATGCAATGTATGTGGTTCTGTTACTAACCGCAACCCGCGCTTCGTGCTTTACCTTTCACCTGATTTCTTAGGCGTTCATACCTAGGTGGGCGTGTGGCAAGTGGCATTCAGATCCGTACGCATTTCTATAAGTGTGTGTGGCTTCATGCCAGCCCAGGGTGACCCCGAGGAGTGGCCCCTGTGGACCCGTTGAACGGGGGTTTGTCGAACGTACCGCTCGCAGCGAGCGTAGGTGGCTTAAGCCAAAGTCATTTGTAAAGACTTGACGGATTATTGAATTCTAAGCTGGCCGCCTTCGGGCATGCCGTTAGGTGACCACAGCGGTCAGAGCAGCCAGCCATTTTGGCACGGCGTACGTGGCCGCAGCGGCCGAAGTCATTCAAGGCTTATTGGAGCCTGTCGAGACCTTAACCCCCTTCCTCCCCCTACCCTCCCCCTCTTCTCTCTTTGCTTTTTGGGGCATTCCTGAGTGTAACACTCACATACACCCCTCCCCTTGGTGTGTCTCTGGACGCTTGCTCCTAGCTGGAAACACCTGTCCACATCCTTTTCTTTCCTCCTCTTTTCTTTCTTTCCCCTTCCTTCTTGCTTGGGTGTCCCTGGATGCCTTCGTCATAGCTGGGAACCCTTTTCTTCCTTTCTTGGTGTGTCCTTGGACGCTTGTGAGCTGGGAACGCCGTCATCTTCTCCTTCTTCTCTCTTTTCTCTCCCTACCCCTCCCTTCCTCGTGCGCAGTATATTCAAACGAGGTCTTTGCAACAGGTCCCCGATGAGGCTTGGCTTTCATCTGTTTCTGTCCCCTTCATTTGGCTCCCCTTTTTTCATCGTGCTTCCCCTTCACACACCCTTTCTCTCCTCTTTTCTTTCACGTCTCCCTGTCTTCATCTTTACAATGAGGTGGGATTCATCGGTTGTCCCTGTGCACTTGGTTCCCTTTCATCGCAACCGCGCGCACTTTTGTCCTGTCTTGTCCTCTCTTCATGTCTTCATCTTTTTGTCTTTGCTGCGCGCACACGTGCACATTCGTCCTAACCTTAGTTTGTCTCGCCTCCCCTCGGGGAGGCGTGTGTGTGTAACCCTCGCTGTGTTTTTGCTTTCATGGTGGTTCATGTATGCAATGTATGTGGTTCTGTTACTAACCGCAACCACGTTTCGTGTTTTATCTTTCACCTGATTTCTTAGGCGTTCATACCTAGGTGGGCGTGTGGCAAGTGGCATTCAGATCCGTACGCATTTCTATAAGTGTGTGTAATTTACTCTCTAATGTTTCTAGCGCTCCCTTCACCCATCACGACCTCCCTCATGCCATAGGGCGGCGCCTTCTGAATGGTGTCCACGGTGGCGGCGGTGGCGCCGCCGTTGTAAGCCATGAATGTGGGCACACCCATGCCTCAGGAACTGAAAGTGGGAATTAAATCTTCCGGATTTGCTGAGTTTTTTTTGCCACACCAATCAGCAGAGGCAGCACCAGTTGACTGGATGATGTGGACCAAAGTCTGACAGTCTCCAGTGGCGAAAGTTGTAGATGCTCATAGTTCAAGACCATCAGATTACAGGCACTGGCACCTATCTATTGCTTTGGAACAGCATCTGCTTGCGCAAGGCATGGCTAACATCAAGGCATCAATCTGGATCCAAGCAAATCCAAGGCACAAAAAAGCCAAAAAATGACCTCTCTAGTGAAAATCTCCATGGCACAGCACCAGAAATCACGGAAACCGTGCCGTGCTCGCCGTTTTTGCTAGGCGGACCGCCCGTGGTCGTGGTTACTTTTGGGGGAGGTTGCTCTGGAAGTTGCTTGGAAAATGTGGCCTTGGTCAGTCACTCATGCCTGGAGCCAAAGCCTTGCAAGTTGAAGATGGGTTGTGCATTTACGGTGCGGTTTGATGTTCAGGCTTAACGGTTTGAAGAGGTTGGTGATGCATTGACCGAAAACGTGGTTCCCTTTCAAACTCTACCATAGTACCAGCCTCCACCACCTAGTAGAATCACTAGAAGTCTGAGGACAGACTTTGGGCTGAGATCCAGCCATGTGGCCATGATCATAGATTGGCACCGCTCCTGGCACCACCATTCCCCACCGGAAACAGGTTGAAATCCCACGAAAAAAAAGCGTCTTCGCTCGGCAGGTGCAATCTGTCCGGCCTGAGCCGCCACCGCCAGACCTGGGACCGAACCCATCCAAACCCGCCGCTGGTGGCGTGGCCCGAAGGGCTTCCGAAAACATGAGGTTTGGAGGAAACCGTGTGCTCTTGATACATCCAAAGCTTCTACAGATCCTACAGGTCTGGGGTTTGTGTTGGTATGGTCTCCAATCTGTTCACCCGGACATCTGTGTAAAGGCTGCTCCATGCACAATGGTCGCTGTGGTGATCCCCCCAGACTGTCAGAGCTCCACCAGGTTCACAGCTCCTTCGAGAGATCCACCTCCGCACCCCCCTCCCCAGACCATCCGTGCATGGCATATTTACATCCATTGACCCCTGATCAACCACCCCAGTCTACGCAAATATGCCAGTCCCATGGATGGTCTCACCCCAGCGAAGCCTTTTTGGGCGCCGGGGGCGATGTCGTGGCGGTCTGGCATCCATCCGAAAAGGCCAAAAAGGCCTCGGAGATTCTCGGAGCTTACTTCAGCTTCTTCTTGGGTCGCAGCTGGTTGGAATGTCCACACTTCTTCTTGCGGCAGTTCACCGCCCTGCGAGCATCGCGCGAGCATCGGGGCTTGCAGTTCGTTCAGCGCGCAACTGCAGGCGAGTTTGGGTTCCAAAGCTGCAGCGACTTCGATGGCCAGAAGCCTCAGATCCTTAACATTCCTTAACCACCTTTTGGATGGCCTCGAGTCTCAGACATCTTTTGCTCACCCGCGAACAAAAGAAGCTGTTTGGAACGGCGGCCACCGGCCCCGTGACCTCTCCCGGTCTCATGCGTGACCTCTCCCCGCTTACTCCTAGAAGGACCTCGAAAACTCTCGGAAAAACGACCTGCCGGGTCGGTGGTTCTGCCCAAGAAGAATCCGAAAGGATCCAAAAGGGTTCAGGCCGCGCAAGCGCGGCTCACCTCACAAACCAAGCCCCGGTGTCAGAGGCCGGAGGCACAGCAACGCTCCGGAAACCAACAAAAGGCGGAGAAGCTTCCTCTCAACATGGCACAAGAGAAAAAGAGAAGTCTTTGAGAAAGGCCAAAAAAGTCAGGTTCATCCAGTCGGCACCAGAGAAATCAATAGAAAGAATGAGACCCAGCAGCCCGTGCGTCTCACCCATCTCACCGGGCCGGCCGACCGGCCTGGCATGCAGCCTCGCGTAGCACTTCCGGCAAATCATCTTCTCGCAGTTGAACTTTCGGGCCAACCTGGGCTGGGTCGGCGGGTCGGCGGGTCGGCGGGTCCGGGTTGGACGGTCACTTCAAGGTGCCCCACATGAATAAGAGACCAAGGCAACAGTTCATAAGCGTTGCCCCCACGATAGGGTTTCACTTCATCTGTTCACAGGGCATACATTATCATAATCATTATACACCATGTCTTTGCCGATTCCACGATAGGGGCACCCAACCAAAGAGCAATCAGTCACAAAACATGGTTTGAGGGGGGCACACGTTCTGCCCAACCATCCCTTGTTTCAGCCTGTGGACAGGTCCCAATCAGCGAGCATCCGAAAAAAAGAAATGCCCCCAAAACGGAATCCAAGTGAAAACCCTACGCTGTCATCAGAAAGGAGACCTGTGACCTGTGACATGACTAAACGGCACTATAGATTAACTTTTAACATACTCAATACGATAAACTTCAATAAACACATGCAAAGCACCCTCCTTCCAGCAGCACCCAACAACGGCCCGCCCCCGAAATGGGGCCCTCCCCCAAAACGCCTCATCACACCTCATCTCATCCCGCCCCCCCCGCCAGGCAGCACAGCCAAGGAGGGCTCGATCACGCCCCCGCGCAGGCGCAGCACCAAGTGGAGTGTGGACTCCTGGCGCCGTCCGCAGCGGGCCGCCCGCAGCGGGCCGCGTCCGCTCGTCGGGGTGTCCGCTCGTCGGACAGCGGAGTGCAGGACCCATCAGAGGAGCGCGGGAGGGTGTCGAACATGCGTGCGTTGGAAGCTCAGTTCGGTGCCATCTCTTCTGGATGCACTGCTTGGCGTCCATGGAAGCTAAACTTCTATACATGCATAGGTTCGAATAACCTCCTTCCAAGCCGTGGACTCTTTTGTACCCATCCAAGAACTGGCTTCACGGAACATCCACATGGAAACCATGGTTTCACCCCCCACATGTATGGGTGTCCTGTCGCTTTCCCCTGCTTGACCCTGTGGAAAGGTCCGCACCTGGACAGGACTCATATGGACTTCATGACGTTATATAATATAAGTCCAAAACCTAAGAAATCCCATCAACATCTTCAGGAACCGACATACCTCCGAGGACTGTGCGTTACTTTGGGAGAGAACCCTCAGTCCTTCTGGATGTTGTAGTCACTCAACGTGCGGCCATCCTCCAACTGCTTTCCCGCGAAGATCAAGCGCTGCTGGTCGGGTGGGATGCCTCCGAGCGCGAAGCGAAGGCTAAAGCGAAGGCTAAAGGCATGACATATGGGTGTGTGGCTCAAATAGCAGACCTCTCAGTTTGACCCCTGGACAAAGGAAAATAATAGACTGGTCGTACCCAATATGGATCCATATTGGACATCACCCCACTCACCCGTCGTCTTCGTCTTCCACTGAAAAGCACCACACCACGCCGCGGAGCGGCCTTCCTTGTCTTGAATCTTAGCCTTCACGTTGTCGATGGTATCAGAGGCCTCCACATCCAAGGTGATGGTCTTTCCAGTCAAGGTCTTCACCTCAGAGGCCACAACATCTGTCACGTGAAAATTGAAATGGTCAAGGCCTGCGCCTGTCACACAAGGTTGATCCATTCGACCGAAGCGCCCAACGACCTGCAGGTTTAGGAGAGGAGATGAAGCCACGTCCCATCACAAAACATCGCAAAACCCGGTCAAATGATGTTCATCCATCCGTTTGGGTGTTCTACCAATAGCTGCCGAGCAGCGAAGATCTGCATGACCGCCCAATGTTGCCACGCCGCAACAGACGGCCGCGTCTACGGCCGCACCGGTCGAGAAGACTTGACATTGAGCCGAAAAGCCGCGGCGCGCGACGGGCCGAAGAAGAGGTGGGGGAAGAGTCTTCGGGTTCTCTCGGATTATCGGGGCTCAAGCTCAAGCTCCTCAAGCTCCTCAAGCTCCGTCTGCGTGTGAGTTTTCGCTGACTGCTTGGCATGGTGCCATCCAAGCCACTTTTAGATACTGCCACCCGTGTTTGCAGAACGCAAGCTTCTACATAGATGTTGTTGCTGGTGCATGTGCTTAATTTAATCGTCAACCACTGCTTCTACAGGGGAGCAGATGGTGAAAGAACTGCTCAGCCGACCCCTCTTCCAATGTCACTGTGCTGCCCAGTTGCCAACGAGGAACAAAGGCATTTCCGGATGGAGGCCATGAAAGCCGCATGGTGCACCATGCAGGTAGAAAGTGTCTTTTCAGAAACGTCCATGGTCCTCATCTCACTGTATAAAAGAAAAGTGCCCATCTTGATTCTGGAACCGGGGTCCTTTGAAGACTATCTTCCTCTACTTGCGCAGGAGGCCAGATGGGTTCACCTCCCATCCGACGTCCGCAGAATCGATCTCAACAACCCTCCCTACCCTCCATACCTGAACAAGTAAGTGGACGACAAGACCCCGATGGTGGGAGAAGGGGGTGAACTTGACAGATCCCCAAGCTCCCCCCTAGACGGTTCCTACATGGTCTTGCTGCCTTCCTCCTCATGAGCCCCATGTTCTTGCACTTTCCGTTTGGAAAGGCCCTCCAAATGAAGCAGCGGTGACCGCGCGGCTATGCAGTTTGCAAAGGGACATGGTGGACGTCCCTTTGTGCTTGCGGCTTTGGATGGTGCCGGATACGTCTTCGGATCGTGAACTGGCGCGGAAAGGCCCAGCAACTTCCCAAACAAACCATCCAATTCAACACCGGTCGGCCGGGTGAATTGCGAAAGTGTAGACCTCTCAGTGCAAGCCCCTGAGCTGGATCGAACGTCGTGCGCCTGGGCGCAGAGAGGCTCCCACTTGGGTCATCCACTCCACCTTCTTGGCACCCCACACCGGTGTTTTCAAGTCGCCCCCTCTTTACCCTCTGCCCTATCAAGAACAGTTTTTAGAAGTTCCTGTTGGGAAAACGACCGTGAACCACCCCGAAAGCTTCTGTCCCGTCCCTCTGGGCACACCACGAGCCAGACAGCCTCCGGACACACGTCCGGACGCAGCCGCGCGTTCCCACCAACAGCCTGTTCGAGACTTAGGCTGCCTGCCCTTGGGGGTTCGGGATGGTTTCTTGCCTGCATCCAACTTCTTGACGCCAACGAAAAACCAGCCTCTTCTCTTCCAACTTAGATTCATTCAAACGCTGTCAGAGGCCACAAGTTGTTAAATTCCCATGGCACGACTCATTTTACGTTTGATTGTGTTGAAAGGGTTCACAAGTGGCAATCACTGGACTCTCCTGGCGGGAGGGCCAGGCGAATTTCCGCATTCTAGCCTACAGCTATGTTGTCCAGAACAATGCTTCTCTTGGAAAGAGAAAAATAGAGAGAGACACAAAAATTGAAAAATTGAAAAACAAAACATGAGAAAACGCAAGGAAACACGGACACACACACACACACACATGAGAGCACAAAGATGCAAGAGCACAGGTATGAGCGAGCACACATACGCTAGATAGCACATACTCGAATGCCGAATCTCACAAAGCGTCGCATCGGCCACGCAATCCACACTTCGAGGTTCACAGGTTGCTGCACCTTCCATGTAATCTCCACAGCACCGCCCCTGCCACGAAACAAGCCTTTTGAAGTTCACAAAATGCAGCCGCGAACTCTCCACTTTCAGGTTCACAAAGCGCTGCTAAACGAAATCTGCACTTTGAGCATCACAAAGTGCCGCGCCTGCCACAAAATCTTCGCTTTGCAAAGTGCTGCGCCTGCTATGAAAACTGCGCAGGTTCACAAAGTGCTGCGTTGCTATGAAGTCTGCACTTGACTGTCCATGGAGTGCTCCGCCTGTCGCGAAATTGCACTTCGAGATTCATAAGGTGCCGCGCATGCCGCGAAATCTGCACATGGCAGTCCACAAAGCGCTGCGCTGCCACTAAAAAGTTTCCCATGTTTTGCCCTTGCTTGGCAAAGCTTCCGATGTCCTCTTCAAGCTTGTGTCCAGAGCGGTGCGTTCTTCTGTCATCGAATTAATTCTCTCTCTCCCTCTCTCTCTCTCTCTGTTTATTCTTTGCTTCTCGTGCGAAATTACCACCGCCTTCCCATCCAGACCAACTTAGACAGGCAATATCATCTGTCATAAGCAAAGTTCTATGGTGAGGTTTTTTTGTGTTCTCGCTCATTGCTTGTAGAACTTCTCATGCCGCAAACAGATTCTAGAAATAATAAATATATTACACAATATATATATATATAAACACCTTCGTCACAGGCTGCCAATCCAGGACATGGAAAACAAAAGACCTCGGGTCTTGATTGACAAGACCTCGATTTTCATGCGCAAGTGACCGGACTTCTATGGCAAACTCACATGGAACCTGAGAGTTGACCAGTGGTGGAAGACCATTTTCCGAATACCAATCCAGTGGCGGTAGGGGTTCCATGTAACAATTTTCAGGATCATCGAAAACTCATGTTTAACTCAAGAGGTGTCCCACCCTGCTTACACAAAGGTTTCTGTGCCCGGAACGAGCCAAGGGGGGCTTTGACTTGGGCTACTCGGCGGCCTCCCATGCCCATTTCAATGGCCTATTGTATCAGCATGGGACCATTTAAAACAGCCATGTCCCTTTCATTCTTCTCTGTCATGACTCCAAATAATAGACGGACTCCTAGACTCCTGAAAACTCACATCAAACGGCTCCTTTTCTGACTGCACCAGTCGATGCAGTTCGCGTCGCCGTCCGCCTCCCGAGACCTCTCCCGTGGCGCAGCGCCGAGCCGGCGCCCATGGGAGCGTGCGAGCCCTCCGCGCCGAGCGGGTTGCGCCCCCACTGTACCGGGAGGGGGGGGGCGGCTGGGGGAAAACCTCCATTTCTGGATCTCTTTGAAAGCTTCGGCGTCTCGACGTCGGACGCTTTGGAAGATCAGTGTCAGTGGAGCTGAAGGTGTTGAGGAGTCACAGGGGGTGCCGAAGCGGAGGTTGGGTCTGCTGGCTGGGGGCGCCTTCGTGGAGTGGGCTGATGAATCCGGCGGGGTCCTATTGTCGAAGCTTGGTGACCAAAGTGGGACCTTCTACAAGCGTGGGGTTGATGGCGTAGGATTCTACATGTGGGTTTTGTAGGTGCAAGAGCCACTCAAGACACGCTAAGCAAGCCATTTGCCCACATTCCATGCTTGGCAATCAGGTATGAAGAACATGGAATGCACACCCTGGTGGCTGGCCGGCGCATGGAGTGATTGTTTACTGCAAATGTGGCTGTTGTTGCCTCCATCCCATTATGGCCAATCTCATGAACAACCTTCGAGCCAGAATAGCAGGCATCTCACCAATGACAAAAAGAATAAGAACTCGGAGAATTGCAAGTGCTTCAGGCGTTTTTTGTGCATGTCTGATTAACAAATTTGGTCATACAAGGGTCCCGATCGAATATCTTTCGATCAGTTGCCTATCAAACCTAAGCCTAAGGTTCTCAGCACCTGCGGAATGACCATTAAGCACTCCCCCAAGGTTCACATGCACCTGCTCCATCCCATCCAATTGAGGGGGGCCCAGGTGTCGCACGTTCCTCATCTGAATAAACTACATCAACAACTAGATTAATGTCAACGTAGGATTAATCAACCCCTCCCCACCCCCCCTTCAAGGTCAACAAGGTCAACAAGGTTTTTGATGGAAGGTTTTGGAGGAAGCTTCAGGAGGAAGAGAGCTTGGTAACATTTGGTAACAACTTCACTCGAAAAAATGTCGTGGACATCCCTGCTCTTTCCCAATGGAATTCCGGCGGATGTATGTCCACCCCGAACTCAATTACAATACTATTACTATACGTTTACTTCGGGGTGGGAACTCATCCGCCGGCATTCCACTGCGATCCCCTGTGCAATTTCAAGCTTGTACAACAAGCTTGTAGGTGATGTACTCACAAGCTTGTTACCAACTACAACCCTTGTGAGTACAACCCAACTTTGTAGAACAACCCTTGTACTCACAACCCTTGTACCAAGCCAGGTGATTCTTGTTCCCAACTTGTGTAGTGGCTGTCAGCGTCCTGGCCCGGAGGGTGTTGGGGGGCGCTCCTTTTTGGAAACCCAGCGGTTCCGCCCCCACCCGTTCACCCGGCTGCACAGAAGGCAACCTTTGGTTGTGCCTGTACAAGGGGGCTGCTCCGAAAATCTTGGAAAAATCCAGGCTGTGCGAGCAGTTTTTGTTCATCCTGCACAGCTTTGCTCGGCTTGGCCGTGTCCGTGTGGCGGCGAGGAAGCGCTCATCGCCGTTAAAACAGCTCAGCATGAATTGCGCAGCCCCAATGAAGTGCGAGCACAAGTTATGCCAACATTGAGTGAGACAAAGGATTCTCCGAGCTCTCTGTTCGCTTGGGACTAATTACAGTACTTATATTGCAGTATGTCATATTGTCTATTGGAAAATCAACTTCCATCGACTTTAGACTTTGGTCTCGTTTGATGCCTACGTTGCTTGTCCCATCACGATGGCGGCAAAGGTCAAGTTAAAGGGTCATGTATAAGACCATCAATGGAATCCTTTTTTGTGCAGAGGTAGGTGGGCAAACAGATCGACAGGCAAGAAGGATAGAGATGCAAACAAACGGATCAATGACCATGCAGCAAAAAGGTGCAGGAAGATCATAAAGGCACATTTGGCACATTTGTCCTTCTCTTCGCTTGAGTGCTTTTGGATGCACTTCAGCTTCAGCTGGCCACTTGCTCGTCTTAGCAGAACTAGGTCCGACTGTGGGGCCTCTGGGGACTGGTGGCACAACTCATACCCCACTTCTTTCAGCCTCTGAAGCCTCTGGAGGTCTTCTCCCACGTCTTCTTTCCTCATGCCTGATTGCGACGTAGCACCTCCTGGCGCGGCTGTTTGAAGAAGAAAGCGGGCATCAGAGCACCAGGCAATGGAGGTGGCTGCTGGGTCCGGTGCAAGAATTCATCGAACCGACCAAAAGATGAACCTATATCTACAAGATTCTACAAGCATCTCTGGGAGCACTCCTTCATTCTGTGCTTTGACTCCTGCACGCCAGGGTGTAGAGTGTCCTTTCCATGACCACTCCCCCGGATTGAGGAAGATCGTCCCACAAAACTGGAATCTGCCATTGAAGGGTGTCATCCACCATCGCATGTCATCCACGCAGGTCTGCGTCGTTGTTCGTCCGGCACCGGCGTTGTCCACCAGAGTCACTTGAATGGTTCCATTCCACGAATGTAGATAAACCCTCGAGGCCTGAAGTGGTTGTTCAATCCAAAGAGGGGTGGCCTATTAATCACATCAAAAGTCTACATTAAGCATCCTCCAGCTCCTTGAGGGCGGCCAGCACCCCAGTCACCCCGGTCCAACCGTCCAGTCCAGCATGCCCCAGTCCGGCACGAAGATTGCCAGGTGCAAATGGTCAGGTGGGCGCTCCTCGGCATAGGGTTTCCAATAGGCCGCGCTGGAGATGTACACGCCAAAGGCCAGGGCCGTGCTTCTCAGCGTGGTCTTAGTCATGCAAACCACGTGCGCAGCGAAGCAGCTGATCTGGCCCAAGCAGCTTAGGCCGTGGCAAACGTGACCCAGAGAAGAAGGGGAACTCTGAGAAGAAAAAGAACATGAAATGAATGGAAATCAGACTTTGCCCTCAGAATGAGGGCATCCAAGTAGCCTCCAAGTAGTTCTTTGTGGGGAGATTGTTTTTTTGGTGGTTGGTCGAACTCCAACCCCTGAGCGACATCGATTTGAACGCCCCCAAGTCTCTCCCCCACGGAGTTTTTCGGCGGTTTGATTGGCAAACGGAAGCCACAGCAGCAAAGGGCTCCAAGGGTCTCCACTTCTTTGGTCCAGTCTGACCAGCGTATGGCCTGGTCACCCGATATAAATTAAAGGTGACCATGAAATTAATACTAAATTAATTTCACTAGCAAAGAAATAAAGGATAGCAAAAAAATAGGATATTTTTGCGAATGAATAACTTCCAAAATCCACCAATAAAATCTCTTCTTGAAAGTGGATTTTGGGGGCTATAAATTTCATGAAATATATTATAAATTTATAGCCCATATATTATTTGTTAACCCCTGGTCACCTCCAGTAAACTGAGGTCGAACTGACCTGTAGGGCTCCTAGTCCCAGAAATCTAGCTATCGTCACAGTCATCCACTGGCTTCCCCCCTGCAAGCCAAAGCCACGGGTCCAAACCTGACTCCAAAAAAACCATTCTCTACACATGTTGGGTCAGCTGATGGGTCGCGTGGCTTCCCAAAGTGTCACCAAGTCGGACCAGGCCACGTTTCTCGCGAAGAAACCCGAGGTGCCATGCGGGGCAAGACCCGGCACCAACTTCGTACACTTGAAACACTCCGAAGCGCCCGATCCTCCACACTCTGCAAACAACCCTAAGAATCCTTAGGCTCTCCATGGCAGGGGTGGGACCCTCCATAGCGGGGATCCGGACGCAACCCTTTTTTCCTTTGGCTGGCTACCCACCTAGGCTGGCCTCGTGCCACACGAGACACCAACCGTGGAGCCCTCCGACCGCAACCCAAAAAAGAGATCCGGAAACACCTCTTTCAGCCCCAGGCACCGAACACCGACAGGCCAAGTAATAGCCCTCCGGGAGGGACAGCACTGGATCCTGTCGAGGGCGATGTTCGCCGCCCCGCACCGCGAAAGAACCCCATCTGCTCAATCAGCTGGTATCATCGGCAGGTTGGGGGGGAACAAAGGTCGGAGCAGTCGGAAGTAGTCCTGCGATTTCATCGATTGTCTTTTTCAGAAAGAGGACCGGATCTAGGTCTTGGGATGCTCGACATGGGTTTTCCAACTGAACGACCCACAGACCTGCAGACTTTCCCGGTACAGCCAGTCTGCCATGAGAGGATATCTATATATATATATATATGTCTTTGGCTCTCTTCATCAAATTCAATCTTGTCAAATCTCCCAACCCACCAATGTAATGTGGGTAGATCTGTCTACCACACATACATGAAGTTAAATTAAGAAGACCACACAGAATCTCCATCGAGCTTCAGAGGCTTGTTTTGACGCGGAGCGATCATCAACAGGCTAAATCCTTGCCAGGCATTTTCTGCCAATCTGCTAGCCAACAGCAATTTCTTTCGATCAGCTGCTACCCGCCAATCCAACTCTAAGCCTCAAATTGCAGGAGTGCTTCGTCAGAGATCTTCCATGGTCGTGCTCCTCTGTACTTTCGGGAGTATGGAAACAGCAGGGAAAAGAGTGTGTGGCGGCATTGTGGTTTTGACTTGAACTGCTCAGCATCTAGAATATGGTAGCCCATATTTATTCTAACTGCTTTGGCTTCTCCACATGACCTCAAAATAAGGGTATACTAACTGCACACTCATGAAAAATCGAATATTCTACGTGCTGACTTAGAATAAACTCTCCCCGGCACCCTCCAGTGAATTATTTGGGAGTATTTGGGATTAAGAACGAATGACTCAATATTCTAAGAGTGCTATGGCTATGCCATTAACATACAAAGAAACATACCTTTCGTGAAATCTGTGGCAAAGTCGGCCCCTTATGGGATGAGTGCGATTGCTAGTAGGCTGTTTGAGATCCCCAATGCCGGATTTTGAAGCCTTGCTCTTCCTGCTTAAGATGAAGACTTTCTTTTGTGGAGTTGGTCTATGTTGGTCGCTGAGATTCGCCCATGTAGCTTAAGGAAGATGTTGGGATTACCGTCCCAGAGCAATCCCCTCCAAGAAAAGCAAAAAAACAATATCACACTTGAACTGGTTGTGGCATATAGTTCGGCCACCCTATGTTCAAAAGGCGAGGCTTAAAAAAATGAAATAATACAGGCTAGGATGAGTGAGCAAAAAAAAGTTGGAAAACACGATCCTGCTTCCAAGTTCTTCTGGGATAAGCCCCAGGAACTCCAGCTTCGGCGAAAACCACTATCAATTGGTGGCTCTCACCTGTTCTGCAACACAAAACAGGTGCCACAAAGGTGGTGACGAGCCTTCCACTAAGTGAAACCCCGGGCCATTTTGGCCTTCTTCGACTGCTGAACTTTGAGCAAAGCCACGTCTTGAAAGTTCTGCCATCTATACACTCTGAAACGAATGTAATGTGTTCCACCAACCTCGTTGGTCCCAAAGCCCACCCGAACGAAGATCACAACGACCGTCCGTCTTGGACAGTTCGATCCGTGCGAAAAGGCCCAGGTCTCAAACCCGGCCGGAGAAGTCGCCGCCTCTGCTGAATGCCACAATTCCATCATGTACAGTGTAGGCTCTTCAATAAATACATATATATATATATATATAATCCCCATTGAAATTATAGATATATGTGTGTGTGTGTGTATACATTTCTTTTTAAGCCTCACAATCCATGTCGGGCGGGGTCGTTCGTTCTTTTTCTCCCCGCAATCGGCGCAGCGGCGTCGTTTCAATCAAGAGTCTACCATATATGACTTCTGAAGGCTTTAAAATGTGCGTGTTGACCGTTCACAGCTGCATGCGACATGCAAGAGAGGAAACCAAACAAACTCCGTGTGACGTGCCACAGTTGTACAATGGCCTTTGGATGGAGCTCGCAAAAATACCATTGGCAAGACCTCTCCGGTCGAAGACCGGCCTCTCACCAACCCCAAATGCATCGTTGGGTCGCATGATGTCTATAGACGTTTCCACCTTCTCAGATGGCTCGGTCGACCGAATGCTCACCCACACAGCGTCCATGAGGACTCAACGGCGTCCAGCCCTCAGATCGCTCGCGGTGGCTCCTGTTCCAGCGGCCATCGTTCCTGGGCGCGCCGTCTGGAGACGGCGGCGCGCCGGGCGCCCGGAAGAACGAACGAAAGGAATGCAAGTGGCTCAGATGGGGCTCAAGTGGTTCGGATGCGGAAGGTGGCTGACAAGCGATCTGACGAGTCTGCGTTACAAAGAAGAAAACATGGATAAGCACCCAGGTTCCAGAACATGTTTAGGATGAACATTTGCCATGGGACCTGGCAGCTCAATGAAAACCGCAAGGTGTCAACCTCGTCCATTGCGATGCTTGTATGGTTTGATTCATCCGCAGTCTACACGAAGGGTGGGAGAACGCCCGGGAGCCGCCCACTGCCGTCCAGCGGCAGCTGGCACTTGCGCGCTTTGGAGCAGATTGGGCCAGAAGTTACCTTGCGAGGATCGCGGTGGGGCCATGGTCCAAGAAGGATGGACAAGAAGTTGACAGACTTTTGGCAAGGTCCCCCAAATGGATCGGCTTAGTGGATAGTCTAATCTATTGAAGAACTTTTTTAATGTTTAGGTGCTTGGCATTCAGAAGATCATTACCCTCGACAGATCAAACGTTGGGACTAAAATGCGCTAAGGAATGCACAGGCTCACACACCACAACCAGCACTGCCCCAGTTTGCCCACTCATGTCCCGCTTCTCGGACATGTTCCTACATCCTACATTCAGATTTCATCCTGAGCTGCCTGAGTGGCATCCACCACCGAAAGCTTTCCAAACCACAGGTCTCTGTGCTTCAAAGGATGGTGGATCCCCTCTCGCCCTTCCCTGATTCATCTTCTGTCCGCTTCCAGGATGCGCTCCCACGTCTGCAGGGTGCGCGAGAGCTCTTGGATGTAGTACAACTGCTTCTGCATGTCCAGGGCCGTCGCTGAACCTTTGATGGCCATACAGCCATCCACAAATCCTCGGTGTCGAGTCACCCTCAGAACCCCCTGAGTGGCTGGACAATCCCACAGGTTATATACGAGGTCTGAAGGTACTATGCTTATTGTTTCTAATAGCTTCTTGTTACTACTAGTAAGGCACTTGTTACTAGTAGCAATGCACTTGTTCCTAGTAGCGAACATTGTTCCAGATCGTTTCAGCCAAACGCGGTCGTTTTCGCTCGCGGGTCACAGGATGGAGGCCTGGAGGTCAGTCTAGGGACTTGCGACCAGGCTCGGTCGATGTCAACTTCATCATTCTCATTCGCCACGATCTTGAACAGGTGTTGCACATCGTGGACGCTAACACCCACACTGGACATGTAGGCCACGATTCGGGGGTCCTTCATGCAGCACAGGAACTCCTCCGGGCACGGGTGAAGCTGGCGACATCTTACCCATGTCTGTTTACAGGCCAGCGGTGGAACAAATCTGCATCAGACCAGTGTTTAGGAAGGGCTGATCAGTCTGAATCGAACCAGTCGCAATCTCATTTTCCTTTGCATCAAGAAGCTCCCAAGTCTAAATACTACAACACTGCACCCCAGTAATTCCCGCAGCTTCATGTCGACGATTCGATCCGCTGGCTGCTCTTCCGCTTCGGTTTCAAGAGCATGTCCTCCAAGGAGATGTTCCCCGAATCGTCCAAGTCCATGCAAGAAAACAAGTCCCGAAGCTCGTTCGCCTCCCGCTCCCGAAGCAGCCCGAAGCAACGACACAATTTTTGGTTTGGATTCGGGTGGCCACGGGGGGGTTAGACCTGGAGCTTCCACTAACTATATACGCAGAATGTCTGCCTTTTCGTCCAAACAACCGGCCAATTTGGGCAGACATGCTGGATGTCGTTGGAAGATCCAGGTTTTTAACTCCAAAACACGCGGAAGATCGAGGGCTCTCAAAACGGAGCGCGTGCGCTTGGCCGTCGCCGGCTGGCCGTCCACCCCCCCCCGCGTGATCGACCCACACGGAAGCGACTCCTCCCGTTTCAACCCGGCTCGCCCACAGCCCCCCGAGCGAGAAGACCTTGGCAAAAGAGTTCGGTGGACCTGGTTTTGGTAGAGCGCCCATCCAATCAAGGGCTGTTCCGTAAATCGGGACATGAAATCCGGGGCTAGGAATCCATTGCAGAACAGGAGGATCAGGTTCGAAAGCCCTGAGAGGATGGGGGAGGTGGATTAGCTGCTAAGCTCAAGGATCATGGAGGGCGAACTACTATGTGCAGGAGGCTTCGTCAAATTCACCGGACGTCAAGAAGCCGATCATTTTTCAGGAGCCGCCCAGAGCTGGAGAACCGGACAGGGATGTGGTGGGCAGGTGGGTGGATGAAACACCTTGGACTTTTGGACCGTCTGTGTCACCTAATTAAGTAGGCTAGCCACGGTCCATTAAGTAGTTCGAAAGCCAAAACCATCGACATAAATCCTAGCAATCCCACGGTCCATGTCTGGCTCGCCTGTTCCAGCAGCTTCCGCCGCTCCAACAAGATCTGCTGCTCCCGGTCCGGCAGGCTGGCGGCCACCGCACGCTCCTGGCCGCTCCAGAAGAAGTCCGGTCCGCCACCCAAAGAACCAGCGGATTCAGCCGAGTTGGGCCCAACCAAAACCAGGTAGGATTTCTGGACCTGGTCTTGGAAGTCTGGGGAGGGGCAAGAGGAACTCCCCATGGTTGCTCCAAACCGCTCGCTGAAAAAGATGGATATATACGCCCCCCAACCCGTGAAACCTCTCCGTCGCTCTCCCGGGAGAATTCGTCGAAAGGATGGGACCATGTCACTCGTCACCACGATCTTTCTACGCCATGCCTCAACAGTGAGGCTACTTCAAGGTTCCCAAAAAGGCGGCGCCTGGGGTCACCCATGATCACCTCTGGTGCATCTTATGTACCCGACTGTGATCCTTAGCTTGGCACTCGAACCTGAGTGACCTCTATTTGA